AGGTGTATTACGATCACCTGCGCAGCGCAACTAAGGTAATGAGTGCTTTTTCAACACCTCCTGTTTATTGTCAACATCAACAAATCAAGCTCCATACCACTCACACTACAGCACCAACTTTGATGAGCACACAGTGAAAGTTTAAACAGACAGGCATCTTTTTATAAAGAGAATTTCTTACAGCAGAAGGCAAAAGAGATAAAAGGCGGCTTCATGTTCATGTACATTTCGTCATGCTTGCTTTTTTTACTCTTCAGCGACATGCCTTTTTTTCCTGCCCTGCTGTTCTCCATCTTCTCAGACTTTAACACACACTTTGTCTTTTTTTTCCTGTCCTTACAGAGTCCGAATCCTTCGCTAACCTTTTGTGTGAAGACTCACTATCGACTTTATTTCATGGTGGCACCGTCCCCAGAGGCCATGCGCATTTGGATGGACGTCATAGTAACGGGTGCCGAGGGCTACACGCAGTTTATGACCTGAGGGAGAGTGGATGCAATTCTGCCTGCAGTGATGTGAGAGCGGGCAGGACTCATTTAACAGGACGTGTAACATATGCAATATAATGTTTAAAAACTTCAGCCAGCACTGACTGATTTCTTTGTCATTGTGACAAGAGAAAAACTGGAAAGCAGACTGGCCTGATGACGATGTATTATTGTGCAACTGATGGTCAGATTTTATGTTACTAAAAAGAGAAGCTGAAAGGAGACAGTTACAGAGCTTACAGTATTTTATGGCATTTCAAATCAATCATATGCTTAGTCCTTTTTTTTTTAATCTAGTTTTATGGTGCCAAGTATTCAGGTGCATATACATCAGTGTATTACCGTCCCCACAGTATAAACAATAAAGTTTAAAAATTAAAACAAAAAAAGTGTATTTTTTTATTTATTTTGACCGAGAAACAATTGAACCCCTTCAGACCTGAATTCTTCCAAAAGTACATTTTCCCTGTTCTTAAGGCTGCCATAAATGAGACCAAATAATAATAATAATAAAAAAATGTGAACACTCTTTAATTTAATTGTTTTGTCCGTTTCAGTGGACATCAGGTCGAAACAGTTGTACTTCACAACTTTATTTAAAACCCTTTTTGCATTTCTCTGTTTGCGGGATTATGTCTGGAGATCAAACCGAGCGCTCGTTCGTGAAGCGGTTGGTTTTCCCCGTGTGCCCGGTAGAGGGCGCAACTCGTCACGTCTCACCGCTTCAGCGCGTGTTTTCATGCCCCCAGATGCGAGGGCTGGATCTGCTGAGGCCCCGGGGCCCTGAGCTTGTTTTCTTCTCTGCCTCGCACCCAGTCATTACCATAACAGTTAAATGCAACTACAAATGTCATCAGCGTTATAATGATGCCATCTGTCTCCACCAGCAGAAGCTCAACAATTAATTTATCACTTGATGCTAATTCATCTCACTCTAAAATTAAGCAACATAAAAGCAAAAGGAACCAACCTAAGAAAGCTAATAAATGCAAAGAACGGCACGCTAATTTTTAACAACAGATTGAAATAAGGACGTCGCTTTTAGTTCAAACATGTAACGTGTAAACAAACAACAAAGACGCTAATTAAACCTACAAGATCTTTGAGTTTCAAAGAGCAGTTGAAGTCTCACATATATCAAAGCAAGAGGGGAAGGTTTGTGCCTTAAAATCACTAGGGACTGAGCTGACATGATCAACTGTTGAGCCGGTGGTGATCAACTCGGAGACATTTGAGGGGTGCCACTCGGGAATCGAGAGCCCTCCACTCTGAAGCCGTGATCAACCGACCTAATCCAACCATGAGAACCGCGAGCATCTTCACACAGACGCACTGGAGCTTTCGCTGTTTACAAATGTAAATTCGCATAAACGTAAATAATAACCATTCAGAAAAATAATAATACACCAGGGGTGGGGGGAAATACCAACGCGAAAAACTCCTTGAGTTTGTCCTTGAGTGGCTCGTGTTTTAGTTTGAGATGCGAGACGCACCCCAAACACAGCGGCGGCGTCCCGCGGGAAGCGCCAGACAAATGCACTTTCTCAAAATCAAACAACTTTAACGCTGCCTCGCGTTCCCGAAGGAACAGTCAATGAAATAACTGCGGTTAGCTCACGCCATGCAACACGGGTTATTAGTCACATTATCTTTATCTCGCAAGTTTGTTATTCTAAATAGGGCACGTTTGGGGGAAGCGGCCGTCAAACCTCTTGAAACCTGTTGAAAGGTTATCCCGATTCCCGCGCTTCGGTGGGAAATGAAATAAGAGTCATTTTGCTGAGATGATTCTTGTTGGATGTTATAAAACTAACAAAAAAAAAAAAAAGTTATAGCAAGTGATCGAAACTTGAAACGATTTGATCGCTCGTGCAGGGGAATGAAAAAAAGACAACAATGAATTCAGAAGGAGATGGTGATGAAATTGTGATGTAACTTACTAATGTGTGCTATACATGAACTTGGCATGGTGCGTTTGCTCTCTCACCCACTCCTTACTTATTTTCTGACTAACATACAGAGTGCCAGAGAAAGGGCTCTAAACAGTCAAAACAAAGTAAATGAAACAAACAAAAATAAAATAATAAGATTTGCTTTTAATAGTATTTATCGATTTAGACACGTGCTCCCTAAAAACTGCATCCCATGTTTGAATGAGCTTAGTTTAATTGTTCCACATATGGACAGCTGGATTTATGGAGGGGAACAGATTTATCACTTAATTAATCCTCAAAAGCTGTGATTAATTAACGCCACGGCCTGGACCTACATTTCTATTTGTAACATCAGCTATTTAAAGTGGAAAAATCTCAATACAAACAGAAACTCAAGTATGATGGCCCAACAGCACTGGAGCGGTCTGTGGCTGAGGGGTGTGTGTGTGTGTCTGCTGACTTTCTCTCACGCTTTGCGCAAACAGGGCGCCCCCACGGACCAATTAAGACAAGGCGAGTTGGGAGAGTCAGCGCTTTCCTGGGAGAGATCCCACACTTCAACAACCATTATTATCTCAGTCTCTTCAACGTTACGACTGCGGTCACGAAGATTGCATCAGGCCTCACTTCTACAACTGCGAGGCTGAGCCGACTCACAAGAGGAATTACAGCATCACAGTATCTCCAGAAGCCCCTCTTTGATCCCGTCGCTCTCTGACTGCTCCTCGAGAAAGCAGGTGTCATCTTGGTTCACGCAGGGCTATTAAGTGTAACTAAAATCAATTTCTCGTCAGTCGAGGAAGACGTTAGCTTCTGCTAAAAGCTAAGGAATAGCCTATTCCACCTGACAGTTTTAAACTTTTCTCTGACTGTTGGCTTTTTCCATGTGTTACGAGATGTTTAGCGGTTCTCGGTTACATTACATATCCCCTTATAAACCAAAAAGCTAAGTTTTATAATAAAAACGCCATTTGTGACAACTCAACATTTGTGAGGACTGCGGACTGTGCGGTCTAAATGCCGTGTCGATACAATATAGCGGAAAAGTATTTCAATGAAACTGGTTATTTAAAGACACTTGTTGCAGTTATGTTTGTTTAAGACTAAAGTAACTTTTCGGTGAATGTCAGTGTAATTCAACAGAGACAAAACTGAAAAACACGGGCCGAAAGAGAGCGAGAGCGCTCGTTGCAAATCCCATGGCAACAGCAACCAGAAAACATGTCTAAAATAGGGGGCAGTGTTCGCTATTACTATAGCAACAGGAAGACATAGCTCCTTCAATCAGCTTTAGGATTTGCTGAGGGGGGGGGACAAAGCTTGATTCTTTGAAAAACCGTTATTAACGGCAATTAAACGAGATGCACTTGTGAGTTTGAGGGTAATTTGTCTCGTCTCACAATGACCGCGCATGACTTGAATAGCTCAGCATAATGTGGCGCCGGTTCTTAAGTTCAGATGGAATTATCAAAATATAGCAAACAATAGATAAAAGACTATCTCCTTTCGTTCTCCTGCTAGATAGCGTTTGTGTTTTGCTCGATCGCAGAATTTAACATCCGCTTCTCCCAGGGGCGGTTGTAGAAATGCTGATGCTGAAATGGAAATAATGACTTTAAAGACGCCACCTGTTACACGCACCACATCAGAATACTCTATATATGTAAATAGAGTTCATGTAAACTATTATAGACGCCTTTACAGCTCTTCTGGCTAGCTGCAGTGCCAGTTAATTAAGCGAGCATGTAAACATGTTGCTATCAGCGTTTGAAACAATACAAATCTGAACGGCAGTGTATGCTATGCGTGTTATGATATTAATATTTTATGTATTGCCAGATACTGCAGCTGTATGATAATCATCCAAACTCTCGCGAACAGCCGCTTTCATTACACATTCTTCTCTCAGAGCCTCAAACCCGTAGTAGTTTTAAGTTAGGGGACGTGCCAGCGGGATTTTGTGTTTTCTCGGAAGTCGTTGAGAAAGTGAGTGCTAATTCTTGTGGGCGTTTTCGCCAGCCCGAAGTGTGAAATTTATCTCGACCAATACATCCATAGGGCGGAGGAATCTATAGCACTGGGGGCTGACCGCGTGACGCAGCTGGTTGCTAGGTGTGGGTGACCTGATGCATTGACTCAATTAGACGATTCTCAGTCATCAACTCCATCACAACAAAGCAAGACCAACAGCACTTCAGTCCTAGACACTCCGAAGGAGACATGGCTTTTTAATTTAGTAGAGACTTCGATCCTAAAGAAACGCCGTGCTTTGCTCTTGCAACGCACCCCAAGCTCAAAACATTTAAGCAAGAATGGAGTAAGTGCAACTTCTTACTTTTTGTGCCTTTGTTCGGGCTTTTGTTGTTTTGTCTCTTGGCTTTGTACTTTTTATGTGTATTGCTTTTGTTTAAGTGTTGTTCAGAGTGTTGTCACTTGTAACAGTGCTTCAGGCGCTGTTTTATACACACTGCTGTCTTGCTTATTGGAAAAAGTTTCAGAAACTCCTTTCAGCTCGTTGCTACACAGTTTTGCAACTTTAGGGATGAATCCACAATAATCAGTCTGACCTAGTTAATTAGCATTTTCATACGTTCAATTTATATTGACACGCATTCTATTCTTTTACGCACTTTCAAGTGAGACTTGCTTGTTTAACAGCTTTTTATAGAGTGATTATCTGTGTTAAACAGATGCATTGCCTGTCTGTTTGCACAATAGTGCTGAGGCTACAAAGGTTCTTCTCTCGTTATTTCTTAGCAAATGTTTTCCTTCTGTCCATTTTACAGCAATATCTGACACATAGTTGCATGTTGCATGCAGCGGATGTTGTTTGTTGTCTTTAAAAAAAATGCCACTTTGCAAAAAGCTTGTCGTTTTTAAAGCTTCCACGAAAAATTGCTGTCTTTGGTTTCGCATTACGTCATAGATTGTAACCCACGTGCTGGCCAAGTTCAGACATCCAGTTCAGAGACGTCTGCACCCCACGCACCTGCCATGCCGCTAGAAATGACTTATAATGCTTGATTGCAAAAGAAGAAAAGAAGAAAGCTTTTTATTTCTGCTCTTTGCTGTTTTTTAAAGTTGTCTCGGATGACTCTGTCAGCATAAACTATTCTCCAGTGTCTGACCTTAGACTGTAAACAAACTGGACATCAGTTCAGGTGCAGAGGTAACTAGAGCATTTGAAGGCACCTTAGGTTGCATCATACAAACAAAAGATAGTCCAGAAATCAGCACTAAATAAATTAAAATGAAGAAAAAAAAAAATTATTGATATTGTGATTTATTATTGGCATGCTCCAAAATATGATCCGAAGAAGCTTTACAGTTGTGTGTCTTGTATATTTAGGCTGCTAATAAATTTGCCACAAGTAGAGCATTCGCCTGGTTCCCTAGGATCTCAGTAGAACTCCCCTAAGTGGGCACAAGGGACTTTGATGGATGGAAGAGTGGTAGTTTTCTAAATTGGTCCCTCGCTAATCACCAGTGTGTCTCAGCTGATACTGTAACGAATGGGGGGGTTATAGTTATTTTACTCCGTTTGCACTGCATCCCTCATGGTTAACACTCTGAAAATATGGATTTATGGTCAGTTGGAGATATTTTTAGATATTTTAGGAGAGCCAGGATAAGTTTAGAATGGAAAGTCCCACCAACTAGGACATAATGATTTTTTTCACCTCCTTTCCTCCATACTACTTTAGCAACTGAAGAATCACGGTTGGTGTGATAGTGTCGTCTCGATACCAGATACACCGAAACCTCCATAGGCAATGCGTTTTAACGCGTCGTCCCTCATCATATTTTCCCTCTTTTTTTTTTTTGTAGGTTTCATAATGCGCACCAAGCCCTGTTTTCTGTGGCTCAACTCTCAAACTTCACTATCGTGCACTGTAAGCTCGGACGTTTGAATCGTAGGACCAACGGACAGGATGATGACAATGTCAGCACCCATTTGGAAGACTCTACTCGTCTGCCCGGCAGACCCCCTCACTCTCTCTCACCCACAGGCTAACCACAGCCAATCGGAGGGGCGCGGAGGGGAGGGGCCAGAGGAGAACCAGCACTTAATTGGTGAGTTGCAGTGAATACAGTTTTTTATTTTTCCCAGTTTCAGGTGGGCACCGCACTGCAGCACATTTCGTTCTCCTTGAACAGTGAGTAAAACTACCAACGTGGATCTATTTTATATTATTTGTAGATAACATGCTAGTTTAATGCTACCTTTCGCATTTTGGATTTAATAAGCACGCTGAGATGCGATTTGTTTTTTTTTTGCTTGTTTTTAACGGGTTTTTAAAATACTGCTGGTATAGTTGTTTATTTGGTTTAAATAATTGTGCTACATTGGATCTCTAGGCCAGTGATTAACATGTTGTCCTCTGTTTTCCCCATAGGTAATGGTCTTAGTGACTGGATGACGGAAGAAGTAGATTTCTCCTCTTACCTCCCAACCTCTCACTCCTCTCCCTCCCCCAATGCATCCCTTCCCCCCTCGCCCCTC